AGTGAAAATGAACAAAAAAATTGAGAAAGCATACTGAAAATCTCGAGACACCTCGAAACGAAATTTTGATAAAAATATGCTAAAATCCCTCAAAATATTATGAATTATCTCAAAGCATTAAAATTTTAATTTAATTATTGATTTATTTCTAAAAAATAAAAATATTTTAGCCATTTCAACTGTTTTGAAACAGAATATTTTGATCTTTCCATACGACATCAATAAATAGTATAACTTGTTGCAATTAATATCGTAGGATTTGGCAAAACCAATTAGGTTGTTCACTCTAATGGTTGGTTCTCTGCACTTACTTAATTCATTATATCTTGATTCTAATTAAATTTTTATATCCGTTGCTCCAAAATTTATTGTTATCGATGGAGGGAACTCAATCGATAGACAATTTTTTGGCGATTGTTAGTGATGGATTCATGCATTGTTTCAAAGCTTCCTTGGATGAAATTTAAAGTAATAAACACACAGAATCGTGAATTAATACGATAATTCAATTATTAATCCAATCAAAGAGTTTTCAGTTACAGATTGAATTAACATCCTTGATTACACTAGTAACTAATTCTTAAAACTAATTTAACACTACTCCTAAAAATGTTTAGATCGTGGGTCTTGTGGAGGTTTGAATATTTGTTTTAACTTCCTCGTTCTCTATCTTTTATAACTATTATCTTCGACGATTTTATCTTACTCGACGGTTATTTGACTTGTAACTCCCAAACAATTATCCCCTTTTAAGGCTATGACCGACCATCTTCTTCCTTTTCTTAGATCCTGCCATGTGACATTTCTTTAATGTTTTTCAATTTTCCAGATATTAGTGCATCAAATATTCTTATAATTTTATATTTTAGGCCAAAACAATATTCATTTCTTAATATAATCCGAAATATCAAATTTATTTATAATTTATAGAATATTTTACTCATGAAATTAGTGGATAGCCTAATGGTCACTGCCCTAGCTATTGGACCCGTAGGTTACAGATTTGAATCTTATTGTTTTCATCTCCGTAATATATATATATATAATAGTTGATGCACACGTGCGTTGTACGTGAATTATGTTAAGTTATATTTTTATTTTTATTTTTATTGAGTTTTTACAAGTTAAATCAATATAACATTCTTAGGTGTAAGATATCTCTCTTATTAAAACTATGATTTTATCCGATTAATAACATGCTAAGTTGTACAAATTAAATTAACCCACCGTATCAAGTCCTCTGTTGTTTAGAAGAAAAGAAGTTGCCTTGAGAAGTAAAATTCCTCACAAAAATTCAATCTATTTAATGGTTCATTACTTAATCCAAGTCTAACTTTAGCTTCGATAATTGAAGAAATACAATTGCACATGGATTACTTGTATGAAAACATGCTTCAGTCCTTCTTTTTATACACTAACATGCTTGAATTTAGCATCATGTAAGATAGGTATCAAACTTTAGCATAGTACAATCCGATTTCGACCTCTTGAGGAACAGGAGATGTATAGTATTCCACAGAACCATGTTTATAGGGCAAGATCTTCCATTACTATGAAAAGACAACCACCAAAAGAAAAAGGTAACAAAATCTATTAATCAAAGTCCGGAAAAACCTTTCATGGCATTGCCTATTTAAATTAGAATTATATTTACAAGTACTTAATAAGTGGCCTGCACTTTGGGCATCTCATTTCGCAATTGCCAGCAAATCTCAAACATTTCTTTCAAACTATACATTTGACAAAAATTTTCAAATTCAATCAATTAATTCAAACTTATATGATCTGAAATTGAATTGAAATTACAAAAATGGTTTTACCTATGTACAGAAGAAGTGGTGTTGGGTTCAAAGCAAATTTCCAAACAAATTTGTCAGACGTAAGACCGAATTGAAAACAGGAAAAACTTGTTTGTGTTGGTAAAGAAAAAAAGCCTCTATTAATGCTAAGTATCTGTAATATACCTCCACTTTGACAAACTTGTTGAAGTAGTAGTTGATTCTATGCTTCCCAAACAAATCTGGTGAATGACACAGAGAGAGAGAGAGAGAGAGAGAGAGAGAGAGAGAGAGAGAGAGAGAGAGAGAGAGAGAGAGAGAGAGAGAGAGAGAGAGAGAGAGAGAGAGAGAGAGAGAGAGAGAGATTAATATTTCAATAGATGGACTTGAAACAAAGTTCAATTGGTTATTTAATCCTTATATTCTTACAAGGGATGTAGTGTTGTATCAAGTGAAACGGAAAAATTTTCGTTGTAAATTTTAGCACATAAACAAGAAATCATTGTAAACTGCATTCTAAAGTCAAAACATGTACTACCATTTATTCAAGTAAATTTGTTGGAATTTGGACAAGGTTTTGATCATTTCACGTCACAAATCGGATAAGCAATAAAGTTCACGAGAATATGAACATATGGAGTAACATATACAAGAAAGCAACCACATAAAACATAATGGAAAGTGAAATCCCAGAAAGATGCACGTAGTCTTTGTGAATCCTTGACGATGACAAATTTAATTAATTTGAGACAACTCATATCACTGAGTAACCATCAGATACTAACTTCTGTATCTAAACATATTCAATATCACCAAAAAAAGAAAAAACTACTTGATGTATTGCTCATATAATACCCTTAAGGTAACATGGTGACTTTGACCTTCTCAACTACAAGGAAAGGCTTGAGTTATATTAACATTTTGGGGCCATGGTTTCATCGGTCGCACACAATTTACGATATCTACAACCTAAGGAAAGATTATAATCATAAATACATACGAAAACCATGTTCATACTTCATCCTAACATAATGTCTAGTTTTCAAAAGATCACTTCAATAAAAGAATATTTTTTTCTTCATTATAACAACCATCACTACCAGGATTTGTCAAAATTAATATTAATAAAAGAAAAGTATCTGAAACCCACAAGCATAAGCTCAAAAAAAAATTTGTAGGCATATTGTAGGTTTTTTTTTTTCTTTTTTGGGGGATGCAGTACACCTGAGCTTTATCAAACTAACTAGAGATGATAAATTGCATGTAAATGTCATTTGTTGTCCCTTCAATTGCTGGTGTAGTTCGCTACCCAAACGACAAATCTTGTCTAGTTAGAAAGGTTTTGTGGCCACATTTATGGGGCTTTTTCTCTACAAGCATAGACTCTAAATGAAAACAAAGAATTTCTGTAAGTAGTAAACTAATCGCATTCAGGCAACCATGATGATGCTTGACTATATATAATAGAGATTACCTTTCCATAGTGCTCAAAAGTATAACAAAAATCCAGCCATTGTAAGCAATAGCTTTAGAATTAAAATTCCATATAAGTTGGCTGCTAATAATGCTCCATTAAAGGTGAGGCCACTACGTTCGAAATACAGAGTACAAACATATTGTGGGTTTCTCATGCTTGGCATCCCTTGGAAATACGTGAGTATGACTTGCCCATTAAGTTAAATGAGAGCCTTCACTACAATAGCATGGATGGCTATCAATGATGGGAGGTCTCTGTAGTTCACAAAATCTGAATAATTATAATATCTAGATAAAAAAAAAAAAAGGGTAATCTTGTAAGACCAGTAACCAATTACCAGTAAGAGCATTCATCCTATACTAAAACTTACATGGCCTAACCGATAGATCCCACTATATAATTATATGAGATTATTCTGATAATTCGTAGCAATTACAACCACCTGAATATAATAATACCAGTAAGAATATAGACCTAACTTATTTTGTTTAGTACAAAAAAACATTTTCTTGAAATCATGAAACATGAAATAATCAAGATTTCTAGATTGAAATTAAACTGGATTCAAGAACTCTATCCTTCCGGAATGCCTTTTGCTGGCATTGTATGAAGAATGGCATGTACCCATTCCAAGAAGAAAATTAAATTAATGAAACCGCTATTGAAAATTGAAACCTATTTTTTTGAGTCAGGAAACAACTACATACCATAACTTCATTTCTGATTACATAAAGGCTAAAGCCTTGAGATATATGTGGTGTAGAATATTTTCCTTCCTCTAGCTAACTTGCCATTGCTGCAACTTTGGTAATCAAAGTTTTTCCACTATTTGTGGGTGTGGAAATCACACCTCTCAAAAAGGTCTTGAATAGCCAATTTCTACACAATACAGAAGATTAAAATCATCGATGCAAAAGAGATAAAAGAATTTTGAACTTATCGACATTATTGACATAGATAATTTCTTGGCCAAACTATCAGATCTTTTCTAAAAGACATAACTATACGAGTAAAGGATCAAAGTAGATGGGATTCAAAACCTAGTAATTTTAGCTGTAAGATAATCATGAAAATCACCCGATCAAATTCTTCTATTCTCAAACCTGTTCTGATCATCGAGAATATGAACCTAGGGCTTGGGCTTTGTCTTGTGTCTCGAGATTGCCGGAATATATGTGAGATAACAGGAAACAAAACGCTAGCAGCCCAACGGCCAAGAGTTTGAAACGTACAAGACCAAAAAACAAAAAAAAAAATCGTATTGGACTATCTGTGTATCAAGTATAATATGGAAACATAAAATACTTCAACATCTTGTAATTGATGTATTCAGTGAAAGCAATGTTACATGAACTTAAAAATTAGACTTGATAATTATAATCATTGATTTTATTGTGGGTCCCAATATTTATTGGGACTCATTACTTATTAAATGATTGAGATTATAATGTCTAGTTTTTAAATTCATCAAGTATTACTCAATTTATTAAGACCATAAACTTGAAATAAGTTAACATAGCCGTTACAACAAGGACAAAACTAACATTAGAGTATTAACCAAGGGTATAATGGATAATCAAAAGTTTTTCTAATATCTTGACAATTTAAAGAAGTATATATATATATATATTGGGCCGACTACCATTGGGCTAAGTTGTATAGGACATTAAAAGATAGTCCAGTCCACTCCAGCCCAGCCCAAACCCAACTCAGCTCGTTATTAGGGTTTGGGAAAACCTATCAGCTCGTGCTCATACTTCTAGACCGACACCGTCTCTCTCTCTCTCTCTCTCTCTCCAGCATCGAAGATCAGTGCTGGTTAGCATAGTGTCGGAATAGATTCAAAATGGTACACTCTCTGTACCCAATTGTTTGATTATATTTCGGTTCATTGTCATTGAGCGGTTTAAAAAAATGCAATCTCTACACTTGTATATGGTTCATAGAATTTTTTTAGATCCTGGTTTGAAAATACATGAACCAGTATTTTCTGAGAGATATATTGTAGTTTGTTATCTAGATGTTGCACAGCAGAGTGTGCATATCTGCTTCTGTTTTATAATGATTCTGATTAGTGGAATCTACGATAATCTATCCTAAAAATAAAAAAGTGTTTTGTATGACTATTGTTCCAATCTGTATCTAATCATCCTCTTGACGCTTGATTCACTTATGTTATCAATTGATTGAAACTAAAAACTTGGAAAAAACGTAGAGGTGGTTTATAACTGTAGTTGTGGTCTCTTACTAGTGGAATTATGTATTTTGGTTATTGTTATTTTAAAGAAGGCTCTACATGGTTTGGAACAGGAACCAAGGATCAATATTTTCAAGAAAATAATTTTAGCAAATGTACTTGTGGGCAGGCACTTTACATTGGGGTATAGAATGGAAATATTTTGCTTGTATGCTTGTGTTTAGATGATTTAGTATTCACACACAACAATCCAAGAATATTTGAGGATTTCACTTTATTAGAGAATGGCTAGCTTAAAAGGATTCAATTTTAATTTGAAAGGCCACTTGATGAAAATGAGGATATTCTCAATAAGCCTTTCAAGTATGAAGCCCTTATGAGCTACGGAGTCTGTATGTGTAAGTGTAAGGTAATATAGCTCACCATGTATCTGAATGCTTCTGAACTTTTGCTCGTGATTCATAACAGGCTAGAGGGTTGAAGAAGCATTTGAAGAGGCTTAATGCCCCTAAGCATTGGATGCTGGACAAACTTGGAGGAGCATTTGTAAGCCTTCATACTTGGTCAGAGTTTATCACAATGCCTGATTAATTAGTGGGTTCATCAAAAGTTGCTTCTTTGTGTAGGCTCCCAAGCCATCATCTGGACCTCACAAATCTAGGGAGTGTTTGCCATTGATTCTCATCTTGAGAAACAGGTTGAAATATGCTCTCACTTACCGTGAGGTCATTGCCATTTTGATGCAACGGCATGTTCTAGTTGATGGAAAGGTCAGGACTGATAAAACATACCCTTCAGGATTCATGGGTATGTGAATCTTTATTGCTTTGGTTTTATATTTTTTTCTTTAATCTTCATTATAGTTGGGCATAATTAACCTGTCCTTTATTTGTAGCCACCAATGTGAAATGTATTTGTAAGTTCTTTGTTGGACACCTTCTTTCTAGGGTTTTGCCAGTGAGATGATCTTGACTGTTAGTATCATTATGATGACACTGTATAGAATAGTGCAACTATCACAGAGAAGTTGTGTGGTAAAAGGATGGTGGTTAACCTGCTGATTCATTATTCATATACTTCAAAATCTTTATCGGTGTGCTTGAGTTTGAACACTTAGCTCAATTTTTATGTGGCATTGTTTGCAAGGAAAGCTTACTTATTCTTGTTATTGACAAGATTTCATGCAGTTGATTCTTAATATTTGATTCCTTTGCCAGAAATGTAATGTTTTGCGTATGTTATACAATCCTTGACAGATGTTGTCTCCATTCCCAAAACAAATGAGAACTTCCGTCTCCTTTATGATACCAAAGGTCGGTTCCGTCTCCACTCAATAAGGGATGAAGAGGCTAAGGTCAGTCTGTTCTGTCTTCTCAGGTCTTAAAATCCTTTTTTGCTAAAGAGAAAATTATCTTTCCATTGAGTGAATCTAACCTTTTTTTATCATGGATGATCTGAAACTTATAAAAGTGCTTTAAAAGTTTCATTGCCATGCTTCATTTTTAGCATATCTACAAGGTCAATTTGATACAATGGTTGAAAGTACAACCATCTGCTTTTTTTATAATTGTAATTCTTAGTGGCCATTAAGCCAATGATTTTTTAGTCACAAAAATAAGCTGCTTAATACTTCTGCACTTTTTCTTGGAGTGAATTGGCAGTTATAATGAGTGGCAACTATTATGTTGACCATGGTTGGGTATAATAAAGATGTATTTTATAAAATTTCTTGTCAAATGTATTATGTTCGCAAAGATTGCAAGCACAATGGAATGAACTTTCTAAAGGCTATGGTTTTTGGTACTCACACTTAACAAATATTTACTTTTTTTTTTTTGGGCGCTAAATATTGACCTTTTTTGGTTCTGGCACATTACTGGTGTCATAAGGTGTTTCTTATCTCTTCAGTGATTTCTCTGCAGTTTAAGCTCTGCAAAGTTCGATCTGTGCGGTTTGGGCAGAAAGGTATCCCATACCTAAACACTTATGATGGGCGGACCATCCGCTACCCTGACCCACTTATCAAGGCCAATGACACCATCAAGCTTGACCTCGAGAGCAACAGGATCACCGACTTCATCAAATTCGATGTGGGGAACGTGGTCATGGTGACCGGAGGGAGGAACAGGGGACGTGTTGGAGTCATAAAGAACAGGGAGAAGCACAAGGGTACCTTTGAGACTATCCACGTCCAGGATGCTACTGGGCATGAATTTGCAACTCGTTTGGGCAATGTGTACACCATTGGCAAGGGAACAAAACCATGGGTATCACTTCCTAAGGGCAAGGGTATCAAGCTGTCTATTATTGAAGAGGCTAAGAAGAGGCTTGCAGCTCAAGCAGGAGCTACTGCCTAAAATCTGGTAATAACATCATGCGATGTTAAGGAGTTGGAGTAGGCACTTTATGATTTTGTAACTGTTGTGCTCAAAATTCTGGATTCTGTTGTGGTTTTATCAGATGCTGACTTCCCCCCTTCTCTCTTTCTCTCTTCTTTTCTCTGGTTATGTTGAGCTGAAATACTTTGCTTGGTTCACTTCTTTTTTTGTTCTAGCAATAATGGTGTTTTTTCAGCACTGCTAGTGTGTTCTTTCTGAATGTATGGTGGTAGTTGCAGCATCTGCAACCCATATATTAACCTTCGAATGTTTGGCCATCGAAGGTGTAGGCTATGTGGAAAGAGCACCCAGTGGGCAAATTTGAACCAGTCATTCAACATTGTAGTTTCACAAGGGGAATGCCTCCAAGCATGTGGTCGTTGCTTCCAGATAAGCAAATTCAACCACCATAAGGGTTTGCTATCCGGTCTTGACTGAGTCATAAATCTGAGAATATGAGTGTGCTATCAGAGGCACATACTGAACAATCAGCTCTACAAGAATGCACAACCCTTGTGATCAGCTGGGACTTAGACAAGGTTTTTTTTTTTTGTTTCAGAGAACAAACTGTTCGTCATCTTTAGTTTCTAAGCCTGGCGATGATACGCTCATAGAAGACCTCATTTGAGAGAGGTCGGAGTAGTTGAAAACTTACGATGAGATAACTGTGCCACCAGTTTAAACATCATTTCAACAGATCCGAAGTCACCGTCTCCTCTGCTATGGCCATGCAAACTTGTTGATTGGCATGACTCATGAAGTTGAGCTAAATTAGTTTTATTTGTTGCTATTATTTTGGATTATGACTATTTCTTCATGCTATTTTTTAGGCACTTGGCAGATTTTTTATTTATCTTGTAGCAGATTTTTCTACGATTTGATTTTTTTTATGTTGTTTAAATAGAAAGCTTGTTAGCTCAATAAAATTAGTCTTTCTGCAGTCTCTAAATTAGATTCTCTCATTATCCTTAGTCTTTAATTTTCTAAATATCCAACAGATTGGTATCAGAGCTATAATCTTGAGGGACCTGTGAGATTGAGAGAGCTCAAACACAAACACGAAAACCTACAACCTATTCAGAATGAATTCAGAAAGCTCATTCACTGCGATTGCACCTCCAGTGTTTGATGGAACAAATTATCAGGTGTGGGCTGTTAGAATGGAAGCCTATCTTGATGCTAATGATCTATGGGAAGCTGTTGAACAAGTATATCAAGTTCCACCCTTGCTAGATAATCCAACTCTTGCACAAATCAATTTTCAAAAGGAGAGGAAGCAAAGAAAATCAAAAGCAAGAGCTACCTTGTTTGCAGCAGTCTCATCCACCATTTTTACCAGAATAATGACACTGAAAACAACCAAGAAAATTTGGGATTTTTTGAAATAAGAATACGAAGGAAATGAAAGAGTTAAAGGGATGCAAGTTCTGAATTTGATCCGAGAATTTGAGATGACAAGGATGAAAGAATCAAAAACAATCAAGGAATATTCCGACAGACTTTTTGGCATTGTCAATAAAGTAAGACTTCTTGGTACTGATTTTCCTGATTCTAGAATTGTTCAAAAGATCATAGTCACAATTCTTGAAAAGTTTGAGACTACAATTTCATTTTTGGAAAACTCAAAAGATGTGTCAAGCATTACCTTGCCAGAATTGTTGAACGCACCGTAGGCACAAGAACAAAGGAGGCTTATGAGGCAAGAAGGATCTGTGGAGGGCACTTTTCAAGCCAAATCACAAAACAACAATGGTGACAAAAACAAAAAACAGAACAAAAACAATAAACCTGGAGGTTATGCAAGGAACAACAACAATAGCCAAAGCAGAAACACTCAAGTCTTTCCACCTTGCCCCTACTCTAAAAAAATCAATCATCCACAACATAAGTGTTGGTGGAGGCCAGATACAAGATGTCACAAGTGTGGTCAATTAGGGCACATGGAAAGAATATTCAAGACTCAACAGCAACAAGGAGAAGCCAAGGCTGCTGAGGATCAACCTCAAGAGGAGCAATTGTTTGTGGTATCATGCTTTGCCACTAACAGCTCCACAGAAAGCTGGCTTATAGATAGTGGTTGTACAAACCACATGACTTATGATCGAGAACTCTTCAAAGAGCTTGACAAGACTGTTATTTCTAAAGTCAGAATTGGAAATGGAGTGCACATTTCAGTAAAAGGCGAAGGAACAGTAGCAATTGAAAGCCACACAGAAGTTAATTTCTGACGTTTTATATGTTCCTGAAATGAATCAAAACCTTTTGAGTGTTACTCAGTTGTTGGGAAAAGGCTATAAGGTGTTGTTTGAAGATAAAAACTGTGTGATTAAAGATTCAAAAGGCATAGAGGTGTTCAAAGTTCAAATGAAAGGCAAAAACTTTGCCATGGATTTGATGAGAGAGGAGTAGGCTGTTGTACACAAAAAAGATAGCAATATGGTGATTTGGCACAAGAGATTGGGGCATTTCCATCACGTCGTTCTACTTTTCATGAAGAAGAATGATCTGGTAAAAGACTTGCCTAAATTAGAGGAGGAGCCTCCTAAATGTGCTACCTATCAATATGGGAAGCAAACCCGAATTCCTTTTCAATGAAACAAGGCTTGGAGGGCAACACAGAGGCTGCAATTAATACACACAGATCTGGGAGGACCAATGAAAACACCATCATTGAATGGCAGTAAGTATTATATTGCTTTCATTGATGATTACTCAAGAATGTGTTGGATTTATTTTATGAAGCTTAAATCTGAGGTTGCTGATATCTTTGGGAAGTTTAAAGCTTGGGTTGAAACTCAAGGCGGATACAAAATGCAGGTGATTAGGTCTAATAATGGGACTGAATATACCTCTGAGAAATTTAACAAGTTTTGCAAAGATGCAGGCATCGAACATCAATTGACAGCACCTTACAATCCTCAACATAATGGTGTTGTGGAGACGAAAAATCGGACAATTATGGAGATCACAAGGTGCTTGCTTCATGATAAAAGGACTGCCAAAGAAATTTTGGGCCAAGGCTGTAAATATAACAATTTTTCTGCTAAACAAATTGCCAACAAAAACTTTGCAGGAAAAAACTCCATTTGAGGCATGGCACGACTACAAACCCAAGTTGCTTAATTTGAAGGTATTTGGTTGTCTATGTTTTTCTTACATTCCTCAGGTTAAGAGAGACAAATTGGACAAAAAAACAGAATCTGAAATTTTTGTAGGCTACAGCTCAATTTCAAAGGCCTATAGGATCTACCTACCACAAAGCAATAGAGTAATTGTCAGCAAGGATGTTCAGTTCTTTGAGTTAGATAACTGAAGTTGGGAGAATGATAACAAACTTGAGGTTCAAGAGGAGAATGATGATATTGATGATGAACCTGTTAGAGAAACCAGATCACTCTCGGACATTTATCAGAGGTGTAATGTTGTTGTAATGGAGCCCGCAAGGTATGAAGAAGCTATAACTGATCAAAAGTGGATAACTGCAATGAAGAAGGAGCTAAAGATGATTGAAAAAAACTAGACATGGGAGTTGGTGGATAGACCTAAACACAAGAAAAATATAGGAGTCAAGTGGATTTATAGGACCAAGCTCAATCCTGATGGTTCTGTAAACAAATACAAGGCAAAACTTGTTGTCAAATGTTTAGCGTAGATTTTTTTGAAACTTTTGCTCCAGTTGCCAGGTTGGATACCAAGGATGTTGTTGGCTCTTGCTGCACAAAAGATTGGGTTATACACCAAATGGATGTCAAGTCAGCCTTTTTGAATGGATACTTGGAGGAATAAATTTTTGTGGAGCAACCTGAAGGGTTTATTTTTCAAGGACAAGAGGAGAAGGAATATTGCTTGAAAAAAGCCCTGTATAGCTTATAACAGACACCAAGGTCCTAGTATAGCAGAATTGATGCACGCTTAGTGAACTTAGACTTTGAAAAAAGTCTGAGTGAATTTACTTATCTGTCAAGAAGGTTGATGATGAATTACTTATGGTATCACTATATGTTGATGATCTACTCGTTACAGGAAGTAGCAAGGAGTTGATTGACAAGTTTAAAGAAGAAATGAAAGATGTCTTTGAAATGACAGACCTTGGGAGGATGACTTTCTTCCTTGGTATGCAGGTACATCAAAAGCAGAATGAAATATTTTTGTGCCAGCAAAAATATGCAAAGGAAGTCCTCAAGAAATTTAACATGGAAGAATGCAAGCCAACTGCAACTCCAATGAATCAAAAGGAGAAGTTTTGTAGAGAATATGGGGCTGGAAAAGTGGATGAAAGGTTGTACAGGAGTCTAATAGGTTGTCTAATGTATTTAACTGCAACCAGGACAGATATCATGCGTGCAGTAAGTTTGCTATCAAGGTATGCACTGTACTAGTGAAATTCATTTTCAAGGAGCAAAAAGAATTCTTAGATATGCCAAGGGCACAGTTGATTATGGAATAAAGTTCAGTCAAGTTAAAAACTTCAGTCTCCATGGTTATTCTGATAGTGATTGGGCTGGCTGTGTTGATGATATGAGAAACACCTCAAGTTACTGTTTTAGCTTTGGTTCTGGAATTTTCTCATTGTGTTCTAAGAAGCAAGAAGTCATAGCTCAATCCACAGCAAAAACAGAGTATCTAGCTGTTGTTGTTGCTGTAAATCAAGCCCTTTGGATCAGGAAACTAATAGCAGATCTGCATATGGAACAACAAGAAAGCACAAATATTTGTGGACAACCAAGCTACAATTTCCATTGCTAATATTCCAGTGTTTCAAGGAAAACAAAATACTTCAAGATAAAGTTCTATCTTCTAAGAGAGGTACAAAGGGAAGGAGAAGTGCAGCTGATCTACTGCAAAACAGAGAATCAAAGTGCTGACATCCTAACAAAGGCACTTCCAAATAATAGATATGAATTCTTGAGGCAGAAGCTTAGTGTATGCAGCTCCAGAGTCAAGGAGAAGTGTTGATTGACATGACTCATGAAACTGAGCTAAATTAATTTTATTTGTTGCTATTCTTTTGGATGTCTTTATGCTATTTTTTAGGCACTTAGTAGATTTTATACTTATCTTGCAGCAGATTTTTCTACGATTTGGTTTTCTTTATGTTTTTTAAAAAGGAAGCTTGTTGTTCAATAAAATTAGTCTTCTAAATCAGATTATCTTATTATCCTTAGCCTTTAATTTCCTAAATATTCAACAAAACGCTGACGGATGTGTGTGTGGAGAGAGAGAGAGAGTAAAATTATAATCGAGAGGGAAGGTTACGAGTTTGATCCAATGAAGACAGTGGGTAAAGGGACGAATTTCCATAGAAATAGGCGGTGCTGGCGGTACCATTGAACCATGGCTGTCACGGGCTTGGAAGTGGGGTTTGCACACCAGTGAACAGAGTAAATACACATTCGGATTGCTCATGATAAAGAGGGAAGGTTATGAGTTTGATCCAATGAAGACAGTGGATAAAGGGACAATTTTCCATAGAAATAGGCGGTGCTGGCGGTACCATTGAATCATGGCTGTCACGGGCTTGGAAGTGGGGTTTGCACACCAGTGAACAGAGTAAATACACATTCGGATTGCTCATGATAGAGCGGGAAGGTTATGAGTTTGATCCAATGAAGACAGTGGGTGAAGGGACGAATTTCCATAGAAATAGGCGGTGCTGGCGATACCAATTGAATCATGGCTGTCACGGGCTTGGAAGTGGGGTTTGCACACCAGTGAACAGAGTAAATACACATTCGGATTGCTCATGATAGACTCCGAAGTTTCAACATTAATGTCCCAACACATTCTCGATCACAGAAACTCAGAGAACCAAAGATCTACATGTAAAATCAGAAGGGTATTTCCCTAATTCTATTCCGGGTTCGCTGCCCTGCTCAAGGTATCAGGAAACAATATGGGTCGTAAGAACCCAAAGTTCACAACCCTTGGAATCTTTGATGCATTGTGGGGTGAATGCAAACTATCACTCCATTGCTTTCAACCAATGAGTGATACAAAAGAGGCAGATTTAAGACGTAATTACAATGTGACAGCTCTCTATCCTTAGCCCATTGAAGAACAAGCAGAATAAAGCAGATGAAATTTGTTCCATTTCTAAGGTAACAGACTTTCACAGCATCATTGTTTGAAATCCATCGCATCATAACTGGATTTAATACAGATGTCTAATACTAGTCCCGAATGTACTTTGCTTCCACCATCGACACAATTTTTTGTAGCTAACTACACCCGAAATCTCAAAGCAAAAACCTAAAACCATAAAAATCCCGCATAGAACATCCTACAAAATGATAAAAAGAAGTAAACAGGGGAAGCTACACCGTATGGCGCCAAACAAAAGGGTAACTTCATTATGCTGCAGCTTCCACTTCCTCATGGAGGAGCTTCTGATCAAAGTGCCAGACTCCTGAGATTATATGAAAACAACTACATTCAGAACTGGAAAATGCATATAAAAAAATCCTTATATCAACAGTTACAACTTTTACGAGTTAATGGGATAGAAAGGGGTAAAAAGACTAAGAAATCTAGATTCCCACCATGTCCTTTGCCCACTCTTCTCAGCTGAGCAACATACTCGGAGATCTTCTTAATGGCATCCACCTAAAAAAAAAAAAGCAAACAATCAAGTTCAAAAATCAGTGCCAAACAGCATGGATTCAAGAGGACACTTCTGTGGTCATGAATATGTTCTCTAACCTGCTCTGTCAAATACTCGCTTTCAACAAAATCAGCTAACTGCGCATCATTGTTTCGGCAGGCTACCTGTTGTTGTAGAGTTAATGCATGTGTTAGAAATCTAGTAACTGACCCAAAAACTGACATCTAAGTTTTTAAGCATGGCTTAAAAGAATTTAGTGTTTAGTCTTGAGAATTACGGACACCTACTTCATTTGACCTACATTACAAATTAGATATCTAAACTTACATAATTACAATGGGAACTAAAACACGAAATCCAGCTAAGGAAAGAGGACGGAATGTAAGTATATCTTACAGAGTGCAAGTTTAGAAGTTTTTCATTGGTCAGCTTCTCCAGAGATAATGCAAGTTCCATTGCTGAATTAAGAAAATACACACAATTAGCCAAACTATATAATGCTTTAGAATAAGAGCACAAATGTGGAAAACAAGCACAAGTTGACATGCGATATGAAGAATGCAAGTATAGAAACTGCATAATTTGGCACTTTGTAAGAACCGATAAACCAGACAGTTATAACTATGTTACATTAAACACTGATTATCCAGTATCAACAACTGAGACATTTATGACTCAAAATAAAAAATCTATATACTAGCCTCCAAGTGATTCCTATGTGCGTACACATTTATTGATTTCTATACTACACAGATTATGTGTGCAAAATAAGTTGTTGTGCGAGAATTTTCATACCATTTTTTCATGCAACATGGCTAGATAAGAGTACAAGAACAATACTCTCATGACAGAAAACATCCCAACTTTGACCATCTTGAAATTATTTGGCGCATATTTCCCTAAGTGCCTACATGAGTTGCAACATACATGCGATTTACATAATTAGAACAGATCAAAACAGATGTTAGACTCACCATGCAAAGCATCACCCTTCTCAGCATGATCGAACTCAGACAGCGGCATCAGAATGGACTGCAGCTTCACTTTGCCACCCCTTTTGTTCTGAAAGTTCCAAGAGCAAGGATTATTAATGATTCAAATCCAACATGGAACATAGAACTTCAAATTTTGACAAATGAATAAATCAGCAAAGTTGTCATAATATATGTGCAAATTATCAAACACCTGATACTCCATCAATTTCTCAGCATGGTCTCTTTCCTCTTCACTAGACTCTTTGAAAAACCTGTGAGTGATAAACCACAACTCAGATTAGTCTAATATAAACAAGGCACGGAATAAGATAAACACGAAATTCGAGGGGGGTTTTGATGATTACTTGGCAAGACCCTTGAGAGCAACGTTGTCCCTATCAAAGTAGGCAAACATAGCATGGTACACATACGAAACATTGTACTCCACACTGCAATTAAAACAAACAAACAAACATAATAAATCCTTAGAAAGAAAGGTAAAACTGATCGAAACCCATTGAAACAGAATCCTTAGAATTTAACTTAAGTCCAAACATCATACCAAACAATCGTTTTAGGCTAAAAAAAAATCCCTAGAAATTTTATACAAGAAGAACACATTAAAGATTTAAAATTTAGACTGTGTACTTGTCAAAATGAGGAAAACCAATAATAAATGTACATTGGTATGTTTTATGAGGAAAATGTATCAATGATTAGAAGTGTTGAAAACAAAACATATTGTCTTATACATACAAAATGTATAACATAGAAAATGAAAACTGAACCCACTTGATCTGTTCATTGATTGCAGCTTCAGACTCATCAGCATACTTCTGGCGTGCAAGAGAAGAGTGAGGAACGGTGGGTACAAGCATGAGCTCCTTCTTCAGCTCTTCAAACGGCTCAAACACGACACCAGTAAGCGGCCGACTATTAGAACTTGAACCCTTCGTCGCACAAACCACAAACCCATTTCCAGTTTTCCCTGGAAAAGCCCTCAGAACAGAGTTCAACGACGATGCAGAAGACGAAAGAGAGGAAAACAGGGGATTTAGGTTTAACCCATGAGTGTCCAAGAGAGAGAATGCTGGTGCAGCTCTCAGAAGCATGATTATAACAAGAAACAGGGAGAAAAATAAAGAGAGATTAAAGAGAAAAATAGAGTTTTAGAGAGAAGAAAAAGAGACGGGGAAGAAAACAGAGGAAGCGAGAGAGATGGCGGAGATGACTGGTGAGAGATGGAGAGACATACGGATATTAGTGGTCATATATAATAACAATAATAATTCGAATGCGCAAGTGGAAAGGGACGTGGATCGTTTGATTGAAGAACACGTGGAGGGTTAGGATTGAGGGATGGGTTGGAGAGCGTGGCTGGCTCGTGGCATTATCTGTTTGGCTTGCGGAATCCCGAGGGAAAATCTTTTCCGAATAGGGTGAACAATTGGGATAAAGTTAGAAAGGCAGGTGTTGAAATGGTGTCACCAAAAATTAAGGGGTTTTTTTTGTTTTTTTCATTTTTATTAACTATCAAGATATTCGAGTCAATTTAATGATATGTATCTAAATTAATACTTTTTAAATTTAGCCAAAAATATATTATTCAAATTGGGATTAAAATATTCAAAAAAATTAAATATCTCATTACCTAACTCAAAAAATTAATAAAATTTAAATTTAAAACATATAAATTTACAATTCGATTATGCTATTACTTAGCTTGTAGTTGTGGGTGTGCAGTTGTTCATTCAGGAATTAACAGAAAACCTGATAAGATTAGAATTTGTTATTTGGCTGAGGGTAATTAAGGTATTTGACACTGGTGTGAACGCTATAAAGATGCTCCATTAGTGGCCATGAAAACTAAATGTGGTTATTGCTTCACTGAAGTTGACAAATTTCTAAAGACGAAACAAAAAAAAAAAACACAATTTCCTTGTACACATATTTCCTAATTTTTGAAAAACAAAAGCCAACGTATATAAGTTGTTTTAGACCATCGAGTGAGATAATTCAGTAAAATATCGATCGAATTTTTTATTTTGAGATTAAATATTTGAATTTTTAAGTTTATATTAGAACTCGATAGTTGGTCATTAGGCTAGTCTAATTAGATTTGTTCCTAAGAGATATACTGGACACGGTCAGGGTCATATGATCTTACTAATAAAAATTTATCGGGATGGTCTTTGTTTTTGAGTGTTCTCTTTTATCCCCACCTTTTTTTTTAATAGTGAAAAAAAAAATATGTATAGATTATTTCAGTGATCAAACAATAGACAAATAATGAATTCGTAGTAGTTGAATAAAATGAAAGCGTGAGTGCAGGATAAGAATGATTATTTGTATTCGTAAGTTATATTATAGTTATAAGTTAAAAAATATACGAAATATATAATTTACTTCTTTAAATCAACGAGGCAAGCAAGGTCTAGTTGTAAGGAATCTCGACAACCCCTGCCTCCTCTTATGCCCGTCCTCATCCTCAAGGTCATCAACCAATGGGCACCACAAAGTGGTCTTTCTTCAAAAGTGAGTCAAGTAAATGAGTAACAGTTTGAATAATTACAATGTATAAGTCGTTTTTTCAAATGATTATGGGATGAAAGAGTGCTTTTAGCACGTTTTTGGTTTGGGGATTAGCAAAAAAAAAAAGAATTTTTTCCAATCCACTGAGCTCCGTGCCAATTTGGAGTCTTGACTGTCGACATGATTTTTTTAACCTAAGTCCTACTCTAGTGTTTAATGCTATTGATGAGACTTTTCTGAAAATACTCCATGATGAAGACACGTGTTTTCGGTATTATCAAAACACTGTTGATAAGATCAAGCACCATCGGCGCACAAAGGTCCTCGCCCCCGAGGTACTCGTCATATAGGATCAAGCATTCAGTATGTTTACAACCGACACGTGGCCTCGGTCTAATATGGTACCTCGGTCGGCATACCTCCCTCGGCTCCGAGATGAGCCTTTCCTCGGTGCCGAGAGGTACCCCGTCCTGGACGCTTCCTCTACTCCAGGATAAGCTATTGACGTACAGGTCATTTAGCCTAGGCTAGTCTAGGCTATTCATCATGACCTCGTCTTACACAATTAGTGTCAGAACGTACTGGAATGCAGGGGTCACAGCCAATAAGGGATAGACGCGTGGCATATGATATCACATCGAAGACAGAGAAACCGCATGCCGTTGCTGACACGCGACTTGGGAAAGCAAACTATTAATTACACCATTCCTTTGATGAGACCGCATTCAATGCGGTAAGGCTCAGAAATGAAAGGCAATAAATGCTCCTAATACAGAGCATTTATTGCATCCTCCCCGAGAGGAGTACATTGTACCGTCGACATCCCGATGACCCAACATTGATTGCTCGGGACCCCGAGCAGTTAAGAAGAGAAGACATTCCTCATCAGAATCAGTGCGCACACTGTCTGTACCTAATGATCATCTACTGATTACACTGACAGCAATCATGAGCTTTTGAGGTATAAATACTCCTTGCAAAAGGCAAGACGGATATGCAACAAAAAAACTCTTTACTACAATACTCACTCAGTATTTTCTCCTTCCTCTCTCTTTCTAAAAGACTGACTAGACCGTCGGAGGGGATACGCCGAAAAACACTCCGGCGCCCTTCTAACTTGTTCTTCTTTGTTCCAGGAACCCCTTTCAGCCTTACTGGATCGTTCTTCCGCTCCCCCAGGGTCTCCCGTTGCCGTTTCAGGTTACCACCGGACCTCGCAGGTTGTTCCAAGCAGCGTGGTTGGTCACTCAACTGGCTCACTCGAAGTTCACCAGGGGAGAGATCTGTTCTCGTTTTTTATATTGTGCAGGATCTTGCACGCACAATCTGGCGCCGTCTATGGGAAACGACTAGTTTTCCTAGTTTTTTCTCTATAAAGAACAGTGACTATGGTGAACACTCGACAGAAAGGGAAAGGACCCCACCAAAGGAGTCTCGAGTTACAAGCTCCCTGTCATCACGGAGGGAGGGATCACACCAATACGAATAAAAGTGCCTCTACTCGGTCAAGAGGGTTACCCCTCAAACCAGTATGGGAATCAGGTCAGGGGGATCAGCCCCCTTGGCTCGTCAGCTGGCGGAGGTGATTGAAGAAAAATTTGGCGATAGATTACGTCAGCTGGAAAAGGACAATGTAAACATCCTAAGCCGGCTCGACGAGTTTGCCGCCTCTGGCGGAGGGTCGAGGGATTCATTCCTTTCCTGTGGGCTTCCCGCCCGGGAGGCGAAAACGAAGGATCTAAGAAACCACCTAAACAACAAAGCAGAAAGCTGTAGGGCCCCAAAGCGACCCAGAGCCGGCGAGCATCACCATGACAACCAGTCAAGGAAAGCAAGGTCATTGGCCCTGGACGACCTCCGACGAGGTTTGTCTAGACGAAGGAAAGGAGATGAATCCGAGGAGGACTCGACCCAATCCACCCGACGCCCAAGAAATGAGGGGCTTACCGATGAACTCAAGGACTTCAGAAGGCATCCCGTCAGGGAAGAAATTGACCTCAGAGCCCGGTTAGACTCCAGGAGAGAGGGTAAGACTGTCCAGGATGAGGCCGAGGACGAAGTCATACAAACACCCTTTACGAGGGAGATCAGTGAGATGGAGGTCTCAAGAAAATTTGTCGTGCCGTGGTTCAAAACTTATAACGGGCGGTCCAATCCCGAAGCCCATGTCAGGCAATACAAGCAGATGATGTCCCTCTATCATTCGGACCAACGGTTTCTCTGCCGAGTGTTTCCTATGAGCTTGGGGGACTCTGCGATGAAGTGGTTCGAAGCGCTTCCCCCCAACAGCATTGGGTCCTGGAAGGAATTGACTAAGCAGTTCCTGGCTCGATTCATTACGGGAGTAAGCGCCCCAAGGACATTGGATCATTGCTGACCCTCAGACGGAGGGAATCCGAGACTCTTCGCCAGTACGCCATCCGATACTGGGAAGAGGTTAATGAGGTAGAAGGCTGCTCGGAGGTCATGGCAGCAGCATCTTTCCGGCTCGGCTTGGCGAGGGACACGGACCTGTACCGATCTCTGACCAAGAAGACTCCATCGGATATGGGGGAACTAATGGCCCGAATAAACAAATACTCGAGGGTTGAGGACGATATGGGAAGCAGCAAAGGCCGAGCCCTCCAATCTAAGAAAAAAGAGAAGGAGCGGGAAGATATTCCCCAAAAGGGATTGCTGCCCCCTCCAGGGGGTCCGTCCAAAGGAGTTCACACTATTTTCAAGGAACCCATCTTCAAATTGCTCCATAAAATCAAGCACGAGCCGTTCTTCAAATGGCCACCCAAGATGCAGAGCGACCCCTCCACCCGTGATCAAAAGGTTAGGTGTTCCTATCACCGGGATTTCAGGCATCGCACCGAAAGCTGCAGGGTGTTCAAATCGTTCTTGGAAAGCTTGGTCCGAGACGGGTATTTGAAAGAATACATAGAGCCCAAGCCAGAAGAGAGACGAGCCTTTGCCCCAACCGAGGAGCCGGACAACATCATAGATGTCATCCATATATGTCCCCTGGATCGCCCCACGTCCAAGGAACTCGAGTCCGACCTCAAGAGGGTAGCTTTTACCAGGAAGGTAGCCGAGGTTGATGTAGGGCCACCAAGTAAAAGGGCTAGGACGGGTGAGCTTGGCATTACATTCTCCGACGCGGATTTGACAGGCGTAGTGACTCCTCATAACGACGCCCTTGTTTTGACCCTGAGGATAGGGAAATTCGATGTCAAAAAGATTTTGATAGACTCTGGAAGCTCCTCGGAGGTGATGTACTTCGAAACTTTGAAACGGATGGGTCTTGGCCCCAAAGACCTCACCAAAGTCAGGACACCCCTCATCGGGTTCAACGGCTCGTTCGCCCTGCCCGTGGGGAAAATCACATTGCCAGTTGTCACAGGTCCCTTTGTCATCGACACCGAGTTTGTTGTGATCGATACGGACTCTCCCTACAACGTGATTATGGGGCGAACATGGCTGCATGCGTTGGGAGCGGTGCACTCCACTTTCCACCAGAAATTAAAATTCGCCACGCCAGAGGGTATCATGGAGATCCGGGGGGACCAAGCGTCCGCGAAAAACTGTTTTTATTCAGCCGTTCGAGCCGGGGCGTCCAGCCAGGAGAAGGGGCGAGCACCGGAAGAGATTATGGAAAAATAGCAATTACAGTCCGGGCGTCCAGGAATGGATGACCCCCGGATAGACCCAACTGAGCGGTCAGTAG